GACTAATATTACTAATACTACTAAGTCAGACTAAGTTAATTAACATATCTACCTAATTATTACACTAGCTACATAGCTCCTATTTAATCAACAATAGGACTTTGAATTATGCTCTAATTATACTACTTATAATAGTGGCTTTAGTCTGCCTTTGCCTTATAAGGGTAGGACTATAAAGGACCTCTTCTAAGATCTTAGGATATAGAGAGTAAAGAAGGGTAAGAAAAGTATTACTATATACCTTTGCTTCTTTTCTCCTAATATTGATAAAGAAATAAGCTCTATTTATAGCTAATAAGAATCTACTATATTATATATTAAGAAATTATTATTAATATCTTTATTTATACTTATTAAAAAAGAGTAAAAGACTAACATAAAATTAAGTTTATTTAATTATTCTAATAATAAAGACTAGTACTTATAAAAGCGTAAGTGTCTTAGTATAATTACAAAGATAATTATATAAAAGGAAGAAGAGGTTAGTAAAGAGATTGTTGTTGGTAATAAGGATAGCGATATGGATAATAACTTAGATATACTTAAAGACTAATAGTAATAAAGTAAAGATATTTGGAGTAGTAATAAGTCTAGCTCTGCTTATTATACTTATAAAGCTACTTACTAGACTACCCCTTAGTCAGACTCATTAGTCTTAGCCTGATCAGGTAATACTATCTTAGTATATATAGTATTTATTCTAGCTAACTTATTCTTAGGTATTTACTCTTTAATAAGGTTATTGTATTAGGGGTTAGCAAGGTGGTTCTTTACAAAGAGGTCTAGCTATACGTTATTTGATTAGTCTATTAGTTATTATTACTATTACATCTAGATCACTTATATATCTCTGTTAACCTCCTTTTAGCTATAAAATAAGTACAAAAGTAGGCTACTAGTTACTAGCCTCAAAGTACACTATTATTCTTGCCTTTAATCGCAAATATACCTTTATATAAGGTCACTTATAATCCTCTTCTATATAAAGCTTCAGATTCTTAAGCAAAATACCTATATCAGCTAATTACTTTATACACTACTACTCTATCTCTCTCATCACAAATTCATTAATCTTAACCTCTTTAAGTAGCGTAAGTATATCTTTAACTAGCTAAATAGTTAACAACTCCAAGGGAATCCCCTAATTAGGTTCATGCTTATAGAGATCAGCTAGTATACCACAAACTACATAAGGCTAATTCTTCTATAGACAAATCTTGTAACCATTCTAGAGGTTAACAAAGTCAATAATCTCTTCTCAAATCATATTACTATATATTATATATATAGTAATAAAATATATAGTATCCTTTAGTATAAAGTACCCTATTACAATCAGCTTGTTAGCGTAAAACTAGACGCATTAGAAATACTAATATAATACTAATATAGGAGATATACCTATAATCTAGTAATTACTTTAGCCTATACAAAGAAGCTTCCACTAGCTCTTAATCCTTATATTACTAGTAGATAAGGCCTATATATAGCATGACTAGATATTATCCCTTTAGCAAAAAGTAGTTATAATACCCTCTGAGTTAATATAGCTAACCGTTATCTAGGTATCCTTTGCTATTGCTCCTTAGGCTTCTACCTATAAAGGAGTCTCTACCCCATAGTCTGACCTTATTAAGTATAGCCTTATCTCAGCTATTAATACTACGTAAAGAAACTACTTTAGCGTACTAATCATAGTAGTTACTAACCTCTTAACGTAAACCTAAATAATCTTATGTAAATAGGTATTAATATAGGCATATATCTAAAAGCTAAACTTCTTTAACTTCTCATATCCATTAAGTAACCAGAGGAAGTTAAGGCCTAGTACTTTGAAGTTTATTCAATGCCGCTAATAACTAATTTGCTATTAGTATATAAGATCAGGAAATCTTTCTTTATAATAAGTATATATATAGTATTTACTAACTATAATACTAGCCTTACAGTAGATATACTAGTAAAAATATTCTTTACCAAATCCTCTAATAGCACTTAAAGATTCAAGGTTATTCTCTATAAAGGACTTTGCTGCCTTAATAATAGCATCTCGCTCATCATCGTTTCTATATCGTTATTTCATACTAGACTATAAGCATAAGGCTTTTATAGCCCTTATAAATATAGTATACCTATCCCGTTAGAGGTCGTAAGCAATTAATTGATTGCTATGACCATAAGTATAAAAGTAGAAGCTAATAGCCTGGATAATTCTGGATTTGTCTACTTATTATACCTAAATACGCTTTAATAAGCCCCAGGCCTGGAGCTGCCTCTCAAGAGTGCAAAGGAATACCTCGAGGCCAGTCTCTTAAAAAAGGATATATATAATGTTGGCGTAATTAACACTATTACGATAGGCATTAGTAATTAACTGCCGATGCTGCAAAAGGTCAACTCTTTGGCCACAGGGCATCTTCAGGTAGTTATTGAGCTCCGACGATAATATAAAGTCAATTAGAAAGGAGGTTATTGTTGAGTTGAAGTGGTGATAATTGCTGAAATCACAGAAGCATGTGAATGTTGGGGGGTGGGGTAGTCGGCGTAACTTTGGGCCACGAGTTGGCAGGTTTGTCCTAATGTACCACCGTAGCTAATGGCTGAGGCGGGTCTGTGTAACGTGAAGCACTGTCAAATGTTGGAACGCCTTGGACGCGGCTTGCCGGAGAAGTAGCTTTCGATAACGCAAAGTACGCCCGCAAGCGAGACCCTTCTGTCACGCGAAATAAGTACCATGCATTTGACCATCTCGTCTATTTAAGAAGGGCGATCAAAACAGCTTCCGCAATCCTCGCTCTTCTCGTGCTATTGTATCCAAGCGGCAGGGGTAATGGCGTCGCTGTTTCCAGGATGCGTCTTATATCGTACAAAGTTGTATTTGGGCAATTGGTGACAAAAAAAGCGATACAAAAAACCAGACTCCCTTGCCCACGACCTTGACAACAGTACTAGCGGCGTCTTCACGATTCATGTTTTTTCTGGTTGAAGAAGACACTCCTACTTAATAAAATTCGATCTCAATCCTTCCAAATATTAGAAGCAAGAAGTCAGGTTTCCGTAGAGGTATTTCCAACTGAAGTAGGGGACGAGCGACAATTGACGTGGTGTGTGTATCTCAAGAATGACACTACCCACCTTTCGTAACTAACAAGCCTGGGGCTGGCGCGGGATATTCCCGCACTCCCTCCCAGGGCGAACCAATGTGTCTTGCTCACTGACTGCAGAACACCAGAAAGAATACCTCTGAGAAAACCAGGCCATGATTAGTCTGCCCTATCCTTTTAGGGGCCAGTATCTGCCTTGTTGACCCATGCATCCTCGCCATAGGCTGTCACCGCACCATTTCGTCACCCATCACTTCAGTGGTATAGTGGCCTGATTCGCTACTGAGTATATAATACATCTTAAAATCAGAACGAGTGATTTGTAGACCCTGTTATCTTTTCAATAGTAATTCTAACGTATCACACTAACCAGTCAGTATTACAAGGGTTAACGACACATCTGCAAATGGCGATGCCGGCTACCGATCTGTATCCGTGCTGTCCGTGAAGTGGCTCGCAACTACGGGGGCGCCACAATTTGTCAAGAGTGCAAATTTGGGGAAATGCCAGCGACCTCATGAGATTTTCTGATGCCAAAGCGTCTGGCCGAGGCGTAATCAAATTCCAACCTCCATCTTATCAGTATTCCGCGAATGATATTCTTCCCTCCAAGTCTTTAATCTTGCTGTGGGCATGTTGTAGAGCCGCTGACAACATAATTGGTCTGTCAGCACTGGCTAAGGCGAGTATTGTCCAATCTTTCGGGCGTTCGTTGTTGTTTCCATGCCGTCAGCGCCCGGGGGTTTGCACGAATGAGAAGGTTATCCCGAAATCGGAGGGGTTCCCGCATTCTTGGGTCTACATTTACAGGCCGAATGACTGCATACATGTGGAAGCCTGCTCGATGTTGGCCAATCGGTCTGCGGTTGGCCGGTCTCTCTGCAGGCTCAAGCTCCACTGTCTCGTGGCTGAGTCCCAGATGACTAAAGAATCGGTGGTCGGGCCTTCCTGCAAAAGGGACTATTGTACCCATCCCACGGTCAGCCTTCGAAAAAAAAGCTTTGTGGAGGAGCGTGGCAGACGATAAGCATGGCAAGGGGGGTGGTGGGGGGGGAGGGGATCAATCTTGACATGGGTGGTGTTCGGCTTGGCGGCTGCGGCTGAGCCAAGACGAACTTGAGTAACCTCTTCACTTGTCACCTCCCACGTTCATAATTTACACAGCTACAGCACCATCGGGACTTGCGGCGGTCTTGGTTGGGGACTGGCATATCAGCAGTTGAACACTTTGGTCTGACGGTTGTCGATTACATGCCTCGCCTATCGAACAGTGCTTGCTTCGGGTCTAGCGGCGAGCCGGACTTGACTCCGGATTGAGACCATGCTCTGTAAAGTGGAATAACTTCCCCAAAGAGACATCCAATAAGCCCTTGGCCATCTGTCTCACTGCAAATGTTGGTAGGAACCTGACAGCCCCTTCCGCGCCATCCCTAGCCGGTCGGGCAGAGTGTAAGGCACAAGGGCCGATACAGTCTTGGCTGGCTTCGGGTAAGCTGTGTTTGAGTAGGCTTGCTTCGGGTAAGCCTTCATGGCGGCCACGCTGCGCCGCTACTAGTAGGTACAAACATCAATGCAATCTCTGAGTCTCACTACTGCAGCAAACCCATGGAGAACTCTGCTTACTTGCTGTCATCACACCCGCATAAGTAAGTGGGCGGTGAGGTCGAGCATCTGGCTAGCTTCTCATGTGGGTGAATAATTGGTTTCTGGCCGTTTAAACTTGTGCCGAATTTCCAAGTGGGCACGTCTACCTGAGTTCTTTGGCGTATAAATACTCAAGCCAAGACCTTCTTCTTCCTGTGAGCTGTATGTCAAAAGACAACTCCTCCATTCACATCATATTAACCTTGCTTCTTCGTACGCCTCCCTCTAGACTTAGAATTGCACATTGCAATGATGGTCAACTTAATCTCCCTCACGCTTCCGCTGGCATTCGCAACCATTGCGGTGGCACGTGTGTGCCAGAACCTCACGGTTGATATCTCGATCACGTCGAGGAATGGCGTCTACAACATCTCGGCCCCCGAGACCAACGTCGATGTCACAAACATCATGATCGGCCTCTCGATTCCAGGACATGACTTTTCGGCAGATTACTTCGTCGACGTAAGAAAACTAACTATATCAGAACCTTATCCCGCACAGCCCCCCCCAACGCCCCCTCCGCCCAAAATAACTAACATGGCCAATCCCTCTATAGTACGCCAACGTCAGCGGCACCTACCAGCTTGCATCAACATATTGTGAACCAGATTCAGGCCCTGGTCGTGTGCTCCAGATCCTTACTCACGGCGTTGGCTTTGACCGCAGTTACTGGGACTTCCCAGCCAACGGCTATAACTACAGCTATGTGGCCCCTGTTGTTGACAAGCACGGCTACTCGACCTTCTCCTGGGACCGCCTCGGTATTGCTGAGTCGACGCATGGCGACCCTATTAACGAAATCCAGGGCTGGCTTGAGGTCGCTGCCCTCAAGGCACTGACGGACAAGCTGCGTGCTGGCACCATCCCACAGGTCGGCTCTACGTTTGACAAGATTGTCCACGTCGGTCACTCGCTTGGGTCGATCCACACATACGCGTTGACAGCAGCATACCCAGACATCTCAGATGGTATTATCCTGACAGGCTTTGCGCCAAATGTAAGCTCTATCACAGCCCTTTTGCTTGGCGGCGCCTTTGTCCAGGCTAGCGACTACGCCAAGGGGTATTTCGCGCTTTCGTACGAGGGCGCTATGGAAATCTGCTTCTTTGCGCCTGGGAACTTTGACCCGGCTATCTTGACGTTGGCGTACGACAGCAGCAGGCCGATAACGGTCGGCGAGCTGTTCACCATCGGGGGGGAATTCGGGCAACTCAGTGCGTTTGCGAAGCCCGCTTTCGTCATCGCCGGTGGTAAGTGTGAAAAAGAAGAAACTCCTCACAGGGATATCCCTGGCTGATGGCAATTCTGCCTTGTTAGAAAACGACCTTATATTCTGCGGGGGTGATTGCTATGCAACTGGCAATCCTGAGCTACCCTCGATCCCGGCAGCGTTTCGCTTTCTCCTCCAGACAGCGACCCCGTTCGAGGCCGCCGTAGTTAATAATACGGCCCATGGCATGACTCTTGTACGCCGGTCCCGACGCCGGTTCCCCGGCTCCGTTCAACGATTGCTGACCGTTGGTTTTTTCAGGGCTACTCCCATGTCGAAGTAACTAGCAAGATCCAAGAGTTTCTCGGCAAAAACGGCTTGGCCAACAAGGCTTCTTGTTCTTGAACATTCGTCACTTTAGCAGAACAGATATAGGGGTCTTTTGTAGCACTGCGCAAACATGGATGATATTGGGGATGAAGCAGAGGGGAACGAGGGAAATCCCATCTAAACCGGGCTGGGAATGGGATTTCCTGTAAGTAATTAGTAGTTTGTGTATTAACTTGTGCATTAAATACTTTATCAAATCTTGAACCATTATCTCTTTCATCAGTTGACATTGTTTGCAAATCAAAAAGCCAACCTTCATCGTCAAAGATCCTGTAAGATGAAGGTTTTTGAAACGGCGGCGCTCACCTCCGTGCTCCTGAGTTCGGCTACACGGGCTGCGGCCTACACCGGAGCGCTCATCAGCCTACACAAGATGCTCGTTGAGGCCGACTCAAACACCAAGTCGGAAGCCCTTGAGACGCAGGCGCTCAAGAGGTACCTAGAAACCAACTTCACCGTCGAGATCCAGACCGTCGAGGGAGACAGACAGAACGTCTACGCGTACCCCGGGGCCGCAAAGTGCGCGTGCTCCTTACCTCGCACATCGACACAGTGTCGCCGTATATCTCGTACTCCTGCGACAGCGACGAGATCTGGGGGCATGGTATATCGGACGCGAAGGGCAGCGCCGCCGCGCAGATCATGGTAGCGAGTCCCCCCTCAAGAGCGGCAACGTAGCCGAGGTGACGTTTCCCTCCTCTTCGTCGTCAGCGAGGAGTCCCAGGGCGGCAGCATAAAGGCGGCGAACAGCCTGAACCTCACTGAGAGTCCGTCGTCTTCGGTGAGCCAACGGAGAACAGCCTCGTGTGGACGCGCAAAGGCGTGCTGAGGTTCAACATAACCGCCGACGGGGTCGCGGGGCATTTGGGTTACCCCGAGTACGGGCGGAGCGCCATCGGTCTACTCGTCCGCGCCCTGGAGAAAAACGGTCAGAACAGACCGCATCCGCACCCATCTTCAACCCATGCCACCCATCGAGGAGGAGACTCCTGAACCCAAGCCCTTTCCACTTCTTTTTGATTCGAATCAGTGTCCTGATTGTGTCAGGGATTGCAGTCTTTCACTAGAAGAACTGACGTTCAAGTACTGCCGGCCAACGGTCAGAAATGACCACTTTGACGACCAGCATCTAGTAGAACGAGAGCGTGCTGTATACCGTAGCAACCCTATTCGGTGCAACAATTCTCATTGCCAGGATGACCCAAACTTCCCGACACTGGATGCCGCTTAAATTAACGGTTTACTTTCTCTACAATTAAGGCTTCCAAAAGGCTTATTCATGTTAGCAGAACAGCTAACATCATTACCTCAGGCCAGATACAGCATCAACTGATTAACTTATCCAACAATAGTCAAAGTATACGTTGATTTCTATATAATAAAGACGCCTAGTCCCAAAAGGCGACAAATACAGACATACCGTTCACTGCCATTCAAAAAACAAAGAAATTACTACAGACTATCATATCAATCCATACCTTTTTACAAGCTTCCACGCTTTACAGCAGGTCGCTAGTGACGCAACATCATTGGCTATGGAGGTCAAGAATTTGACTCCGAATGGTGAAATTGCGGATGTTATCAACACGCAGAATCTCAGCAAAGAACTCAAGCAGTCCCCTCTCGAGCTATGCGATTGAACACTGTCCAAATCATGGACGCATGGCGCAATCAGATTTTGAAATCAAGGAATCACAGTCGGAGTCCTTTGACGTAAAGTCTGAAAGTCTTCGGAACTGGCTGCGATCATATCCTGCGTTTCTCTCTTAGTAGGATGTGAAGACACGCCTCGATTCTGCATGTCGCTGCGCAGTGGGGAATCCCTCCTCTAATAGAACATGTCTCTCAGCCGGCGATAGAAAGATGCGACGCAGAAGAGATTGTGGGCCTGGTTAATCGCAAGGGTTCCAATAATAAATCGCCAATTTAGTTAGCTCCTGAGTCGAGGTATCCAGAGATAATGTATTTACTCTCAAAGACTTGGGAAGGGGGATTTTTGAACAGGCGGTAGAGTCTGCAGCGGGAAACGTATGAAACGGCAAAGAAGTCATGGCGCTACTTCTTGACCGGCAGGGCGACCAGAACTAGGCACCCCACCGCGAATCTCAGTCCAGATTGGGAAGCCTCAAGTTCGTGTAGCTGGACCGCAGGCTCGCGATAGCGTTCGCGAGACTAAATGTTCCTATGTCCACGAGCATTGCCAGCACGATGTTGTGCTGTCCGATTCTGACAACTTACCGGTTCCGCAAGCTGCTTCCTGAATGAGAGTTCATGGATGCTAACACAAGCTGATTCTTGGGGTCTTGGGTAAAGTGTTTCTTGGCAAGCCTTGCAGGAGGTAGTCCTAGAGTAGTTTGTTACCTTGAGATGGTGACCCCTAGGCCTTCTTTCACGGGACCGTGATACGTTTATAGCCTGGCTATGCGCTACATCTTGTGTATACGAGGCTATCCTTGTTAATGTTACCTTATCCCAGGCCAAGATTAGGCAAAGCTAATGTCTAGATCGCAGATGAGACGTGGATTACCTATTGAAGCAGTTTGCTAGCGTATAATGTCGTGGCACCTAACTGTATCGCTGTAGTACAAGATCCTCGCGCAGCAGGCCTTGATTCGCGTTAAGCGACGTGTTATTAATCGTTGTAGATTGCTCATCCAAGGTCAGGGGCTTGCAAATCACCAGACATAGTGATTTTATAGCCAGAGTCTTGCATCTTCCTGTAGCGTAAGCGATAGCCTAGGCCATAAGCTTGATTCCTAGGCGCCTACATCGAGATGATTAACATGGTACGTAGGGCCATTGCTGACTTGTTACGCAATTCTATAACCTATTCTATGATCTCTCCTAAGTCGTCAAATTACTGGAACAGACAATTCTTCTGCTCTGAGAGTAAGGCGAGGTGGATGTGACCTAATAGCAAAGGGGGCCAATGAGAGTGGATTTGTAGCGTGTTTCGCCTAGGTATTTGCAATTCTTGATATTGACGTTTAACAAATTTGGCGAGGCGTAGGAAGTTGAGCAGAGAGGAGGTAAAATTGCCTTATCTACTCTGTATTCTGCGTCAGCTTTCAGGCCTGTTCTACGTCTTCTTGAACAACATAGCGATCGTCCTCGAGCTTACATGCATTATCAGACGGAAATTTGTAGAATCCAACGCTATGCTAAGCAAGCGGAGCATAGAGCCAGGCAATGCACCATACTGAAAGTGTATATTATTGAGTGTATGCACGGATTCCATTTACTGAAAGCCCCGCGACTCACTTCTGGCAAATGTTATATCATGAGTTCCCTCTTCCAAGAAATATGGTTATAGAAATCCGGCAAGGCTACTGCCGGCCAGACTTCCATATTGTTGGCACTCTCGGGCCTTGCAATAGTAAGCCTTCAGAATCCCAGTAGTAAAGTAAAGACGGCTTGCTAACGAACTTCACAAGCTGTAGTTTACTATCTTGTGGTAGTCGTCCACTGTGTCTACATCCATCCTCTTTCTAGTTCCATGGGTTACGCCTTTTGCCTGCTGCCGACATCGTCAACCAATGGCACAGCACTGTCCGACAAAGGTTTCTTTACGAATTTAGCGAGTTGCACAAGCAATTTGAACCCATTTTTATGTTAGACCCAACCAAAATTCCGTTGACGGCATCATTGGCTTTCCTCAAGTCTATGGGAAACGACCTAAAGGAACTACTGGGGTTTTCGAAGGAGTTCAAAATTATATATCCCCTTTCGGCCACGTGAACCTTTGGCAGCTCCCAGCGAAGAGCAGCGCCGCTTGAGGCGACAGCCATCCCATGCTGTTAGTGACGCAGCGTTGCGCGAACAAGAGCCTATCACCAAGGATTACATAGACAAGCTGGTAAAGCAACTGTCTCATTGAGTCCAGACAGGAAAGGTTTTGGATGTCACTTGGTGGATGAACCGTCTTTTGTTTGACAACATTTCCGATCTCATGTTTACTAATTTATTTGACAGCACTGAAATAGGGATAGAGCATCCTTATATCAACAACTTTTTTGAGTCGATCATCGGTTTCAACTACAGCCGCTTCATTAGGGGGTATTCCTATCTGAGATGGATTTTCTATCTGGTCGTCGGTGGCAAAGATGTTCAAAAAGCTATTGATCGTGGTACAAGGAACGCCAGAATGGGCGACGCTGTGGCAAAGGCGCGAATGGAACAAGGCACCGAGCTACCTGATGGAAGACGCGACTTTACGACGTAAATGCTGAAGAAAGACAAAGATGGAACGCAAGGCATGTCGGCTTCCGAAATATTGCACCACACGCCAGTTTTGATCAGAGGGGGAAACGAAACATCGGCCTCGCCTATGTCACTTTTCTTCTTCTTCATTCAGAATTCGCCAGAACAGAAACGCATTCTTGAAGAAGAAATACTCGGGGAAGTTGGCAAAGACCTTAGGGTGTTGTCACGCAGCGCCCAGACCAGGACCGAATGCGGCTTTGTGCGCTGAGGTTGATCCCTGTCGCGATGCCCTCATGCGCATCGCGCAGCCTTGTGAGATTTGCGCTGGGCCTGGATTAACTATTAGTCCAGTCCCTTCGTACAGATCCACTACGCAGGATACATATTTATTTATTTTAGATAAGGTAATCCTGTACATAGAAATCTAAGCTATTTTCTTTATATCTTTTTTACCCTAAATAGTAACTCTATAATAGTTATAAGCTTAGCTTATATTATACCTTTGAACTACTATATCTAGAGCGTATTATAAGCTAAAAAATCTCTCTTAAATAAATTATTTCTACTCTTTTAAACTAATATCTCTAATATATCTATTTCTATTAAGGCTATAAGAAAACTTAAGACATAAAGCAATTAGCTTTTATAGTATATAACTCTTTAGCTTAAAGCAAAATTAAAACACATTTAGGAATTTATTAACTTAAATAAACCTAAATAAATAAAAAAAAATAAACTTAAATATCTTAATAAAATCTTAAATACCTTAAAGATTTTTATCTTTAATAAATTTATTATTAATATAAATCTTAAATAAACTAATAATAAACTTCTTTTAATAATAGCTAATTTAAATATTAAGGTTATATATTAAATATATATTTTAAATATTAATATAAAAAAAGTTATTTAAAAATAATAATAAAAAGTATTTAATATAATTAATATATAAATAAAAATATTAATTATTAAATTACTTTTTAAGTTAACTTAGATAAAAGCTTTAGTATAAAACTAAATAATATTTTACTTAATACTTAAGATTCTTAAATAATAATATATACTAAATAATTTATTTAGTTAAATTATTATTTAAAAAAAATATTTAGTTTTATTAAATTAAATAGAGTAAGAATAATAAGGGGTTATTTATAAATAGTTACAAGGAAAAGTAGAGAAGAATAAGATAGATAGAAAAGGTATATATATATATTAACCGTTAAGGTATCGTTATATCTTTGTTGTTATTATAAAACTGTTTAAGTAGAGGGGATATCTCTTAGTTATATAGAAAGTCCCTTAGATACGTATAGTATCTAAGTGTATATCTAAGCGTATATCTAAGCGCTAAGAGGTACTTATAGTTTCTTATATATATATATATATGCTTATATATGCCTGTAGATAAGTATAAGCGCTGGTATATATAATGCTTAGAAGTATATGCGTTTATATGTAGTAGACTACATTAGTTT